TTTGACAGCTTTCAATACACATTTTTATATCCTCTACCTGCACAAATGTTATGTATTTCGATATGGACAACTCTCTATCATTCTCTTTTCCTTTTCCTCCTCCCCACCTTCCATAGAGATGTTCCAGTATTACAAACATTTTTACATATTAGTTTGTATATGATCATGCTTTTTTGTGTATGTGTTTTTATATTGTGCATCAGCCTTCCACACATGAGAGAAAATGTGACCTCTTTGTCTTTCTTAACCTGACTTACTTCACTTAACATGATGTCCTCTAATTGCATACATTTACCTACAGAGCACATGTCCTTATTCTTTTGGCTGAGTAAAACTCCATTGTGTACATATACCAGAGTCCATTTACCTTCAAACCATGAGGTGTCATTCTTCCTTAAGTCTGAAAACAACTCCATTCTCTCTCTCTCTCTCTCTTTCTCTCTCTCTTTCTCTTTCTCTCTCTCTCTCTCTAAATATATATATATATACATGTATAATTATATAATTTTCTTCATCCATTCATCAGCCAGAGGGCATTTGGCATTGGGTAATGTACATCACTTGGATGCTGTAATAAATGTTTCAGTAGACATTAATGTGCAAATGTCTCTATTGTATTCTGACTTATGGTCCTTCAGATGTATGCCTAGGACTGGTATCCATACTGCTTTTTATAATGGTTGTAATATTTTGAATTACCATCAGCAATGTATAAAGTTTCGTGTTTCACTACAACCTCACCAGCATTTATTGTTTTTGCTCTTGAAGGTGGCCATTCTAACTGGAGCAATTGCTTAAGAATTTCATGATCTTGTTTAAAGTCCTTTTTCATAGCCTGTATTGTATTACTACATTCAGGTGTTTATTTATACTCTCTTTGAATTCATTTGATGTTTATTTTGGCTCCCTTTATTTTTTTGATGTAATTTATTATATCAAAAATTTATCATAATTGCTTCTGGATTTTATCCAGTTCAACAAATCAGAATATGTTGTAGAATTGTTGATTTTTGGGTGAATCAGATTGTTTTTTACTTTTTTTCTCTGTATCTGTGTTTGCATTTGCATTTCTGGTTCAAGTTGATGGTTATGGGTTTTAATCTCCTCTCTTCTTTGAAGGGGAATACTTGCAATATGAAGGCAGGATTGGGTTGGGACATGGCTGATGCTCAGTTTCCCACTTCTGAGTTGGGGATGGATTTCAATAGCTAGATATTGGCCAATATGCTCATGCACCAAGCATAATCCCCAACATGTCAGAAAGATGGAAACTAGCTGTAAAAGCAACAATAATATAAAGACACATAAATTATGTAAATAGGGTAATTAAATAAAATTATTACTGAAACAATTCAAATAATCTTAGTAGAAAAAGAGGCAAATATAATAGGTGAGCTAAGATAGTACTAGTTAATAACGTTAGGGATAAGCTGAAAAAAGCAGTAATAATAATAAAAGGGAATAGTAAATGAAATATAGGGCAATAAAAATGGAAGGAGAAATAGGAACATAAAATATAAAACTCTCACATATTCAATATCCAAAGAAATGGGCCAATGAACTGAACAGAAGATTTTCAAGAAGTACAAATGAACTAATGGCACATGAAGAAATGTTCAACATCCCTGGACATAAAGGAAATGAAAATCAAAACCACATTTAGATTCTACCTCATTCTTATTAGAATGGATACCATTAAGAACAAAAAGCAAATGTTGGCAAAAAAAAAGCCAGGAAAAATGGAATATTTATACACTTTTGGTGGGAATGTAAATTAGTACAACTCCTATTTTAAGCAGTATGGAAGAATCTTAAAAACAACAAAAAATATAGTACTGCTATACAATCCAAGATACCACTTGTGGACCTTTACCTGAGGGATGCAAGCCAGTATACAATATAAGGAACTTACACAGAAATGTTTACTGAAAAATCATTCACAATAACCAAGGTATGGAAACAGTTCAGATGTCGTACAACTGATGAGTGGACTAAGAAAATGTGATTTTACACACACACATACACACACTCACACAAAGTGTAAATGGCTTTCTGTTTTGCTGCATCCTCACCAGTATTTGTTGTTTTATATTGCCCTTGCGTAAGGCCATTCTAACTGGGGAGAGATGAAATATGAGTGTAGTTCTGATTTGCATCACTTCCATAACCAGGGAATTTGAACATTTCTTAAAGTATTTACTGGCCATTTCTACCTCTTCCTTTAAAAATTCCCATTAAATTCATGTTCTCCTTTCTTCATTGGGATGTTGATTCTTGGGGGTGAGTTTTTTGAGTTCTCTGTAGATAGTTAGAGGAGACTAGTGGAAGAGGGAAAGAAGAAGAGTGTGAAGCAACTATGTAGGAGCAAGACAAAAAAAATGCAAGGAAAATCTTTAATCTATATAGGGTGGGGGAAAAGGCAAAGAACATTAGAAAATACAGTTCAGTCTGATTGAAATATAATGTATTTATAACTACACTACCAATGCAAAACCCCATTGAACAATGAACAGGCACTGAACAACAAAGAACAAGAATGTAAACAGGACACAATTATCTGAGAGTACTAATTAGAGGGGGAGAGCAAACAAAGAAGGTAAAGGGAGGTAAATTTTATCAATATATTCTCTACACATGTATGAATATGGATAATGAAACTTGTTGAAGTCAGTTTAAGAAGAGAGGAAGGGTTGACTAGTAGAATGGACTAAACCAAACCAGAATACAATGTGCACATATATGGAAAGGTAACAACAAAACTCTCTGTACAGCTATAATATACTAATAAAAAGGTTAGAAAACAAGCAATAAATATGTAGGAAGAAGAGAAGAAAAAGATAAAGTGGGAAAATTCAATATTGAAAGCTGGATGATGTGGCTTGTGCATACCCCCTGGCACTGGAGAGGTTGAGGCAGAGAGACCATGAGACTCAGTTGATCCTGGGTCCATGCTAGAAATCAAACAACAGCAAACAAGACAAAAAAGAAGAAAAAGAAAAGCAAGGAAGCAGAACAGGATGGGGCAGGTCAAATAAACTAGATATTAAATGGAGATGTAGTATAAGGGAATTACAAAAGCAAAGATAAATGAAAAATGAATTTTGTAAGAATTAGAGTAAATTATATATTTGAATATACAAATTAGTCACTCTGCTTTTAAATGTCTCTATAGAAAAGTGGACAATCAGTCAATATAAGACTGGACAAAATAACATTAAATAAAAATGATAGACTCCAAGTCCGCAAATGATGCCAATCTTGTATGTTGTGCTAAAATCCTAGATCACTTATTAATAGGTTTTCTTTACATAGTAAGTGCAGCTTGTTAGGGATGTCTTTATACTATTTCACCTTCATCTTGTGTGTGTGTGTGTGTGTGTGTGTGTGTGTGTGTTCACCTAGCAGCAATCAGAGTGTGTGTTTTGTGTGGTAAAACCAATACTCTATAGTTGTGGAAAAATCCACTGCCCCCCTGTTTCTGCCTCCCTGAGTTTTGTCCATATGAGAAGTGGCATCTGCTCCTCTATGTGACTTTGAATAGTTTCCCACCATGTGTAGCTCTCTATATCACATACTCATACTTTCCTCTGTAGCTAAATCAGTGCTCTTGGTCCACACTCACTAAACAAACATCTATTCATATCTTGCTAAGTGTTTCCAGAACCTGGGAATTCTGAATCCTTACTCCATTAATTTAGTGAGTTGCACAATGGCTTCTCACCAGTGTATCCTCTTCTAATATCAGGAAGAGAGAATTTTCCCACTCTAAGCTCTATACAGATGCCAGGACATGTCCCTTGCTAGACTAAAAATGTGCTTGATATTTACTCAAGTGTTTAATGAGTTTTCAGAGACTCTTATCCTTCTCTGTTCTTTCTTTCTGTTGTGAAGGTTCTACACAGGCCACAAAATGAAAAATTCACTAATCCCATTCTGCTCATTAAGACCCTTTAAAAAATATCATCCTATCTGTTCACAACTTAAACCACAATGTGTGTTTTCTGTCACTTAGTATTTTTCTTTCTTTCTTTCACTTTAGCTTCACTAGTTGCATGCCCTCTGCATTCCAGGGTGAACATTTGGACCACTGAAGCAGATATTCACACATATTCTGTTTTGCTTGTCCAAACTACCACATTTAAAAAAAAATTGTTCTAACTGAACAGTAATGAAATCACTGGTCTTGAAGGGTAGCTTTCCCTGAGATGATGGAGATAACGTGGGTATCATTCAAAGACACTTAAGTGACACCTACTTTCTTCTATTGTAAGTAGGATACATATAAGAAGTGTAAACAGTGTGGGAAGAAAGCAGAAAAGAAGAAAGTGAGATTTCAGGGACTTCTATCTCAAAGAAAATAAACATTATTATATTCATAACTGAATTTTAATGCAGTATCATATTCCCATGTAGCTACACAAACTGCATTTTTGTAATGATGGAAATGAAACAATTTCCTTTGTCTATATCCTTATTTCTCAGGACTGAGTGAGTCGCAGTATAGATCTGGTGGGTCATGAATAAGGATTTACTAAAAGGAATACCTTTTAGTAATAGGTGCCCAGTGAAATCACAAGCTCTGATATCAAGATTTATTTAAATCAAGTAGTTGATTCCTGATGCAGGCACCCATAAGGAAAGGAGACACAAACATAAGGCCTACCAGACATTAAGCCAACTAACAGAAGAGTGGTAGCCACAGTCTAATTATTAATAATTGTATAATTTTGGAATGTGAATGCAGAGTTCATCGTTAGCCATATTAACCCAGTTTATCACAAATTCTAACAAGTCCTTATTGATAGTATGGGAAGAAAAGAAAATGGAAATATCGGTCCAGAAAGTTTCTGAATTTTCCTCTATTCATAAGAACCTTGATGTGAATCATTTCTTTTATTTCCCTTTTTTCTAAAATGCATTTCCTATTTTCCATTCATATTACTGCAAGGCCTTAATACTTACTGTATGATCTTTTCCATGGTGCAATTAGACAGATTGTCTCAGAAACTGAGATGGATTTTTCTTCTCTGGATTCTCCTAAGAGAACATTTGATATCCCTATTCCTTAGGCTGTAGATGAAGGGATTTAGCATAGGATTGACCACGGTGTAAATAACTGAGGCCACCAAAACACTTCTAGGAGACTGTGATATTCCTGAACTAAGGTACACACTAATGCTTGTTCCATAAAACAAGCAAACAACGGAGAGGTGAGACCCACATGTTGAAAAGGCTTTAAACTTACTATCTGATGATGGTATCTTCAGAATGGATGATATAATTTTATAGTAGGATAAAATGATTCCTGAGATGGGGAAAAAACCAAATATGATACCTGCAATATATTTCACAACGTTTTTTGAGAATGTGTCAGAACAGATAAGATTAAATACATGAGATGGATCACAGAAAAAATTTGAAAGTTCAACATCTTTGAAATTATTAAATTGTAAGGCAAACAAATTATGCAGCTGTGAGTTCAAAATGCTAACCAAAAGGGACAGGAAAATTAAGAGTACACATACACGAGTATTCATAATAAGTGGGTAATGCAGGGGGTGACAGATGGCCACAAACCGGTCATAGGCCATCACAGTCAGAAGCATGTCATCCATAGTTCCAAAAATAATATATATAGACATTTGCACCAGGCACCCCACATATGAGATGACCCTACTGTGAATTTGGATGTCCAAAATCAGGTTTGGAACAGTGGTGGAGATGAAACAGATGTCAGTAAATGAGAGGTTGGAGAGGAAGAAGTACATGGGTGTGTGGAGGTGTGAGTCACAGGTAATAACCAGTATGACGAGCAGGTTCCCAAGGACTGTGAGCAGGTACATACACAAGAATAGTCCAAAGAGGACAGGTTGCAGTTCTGGATCCTTTGAGAGTCCCAGGAGATAAAATTCTGAGACAGGTGTTAGATTTTGTGCTTCTATATTGCTTGAACACCTTTATGCCAAAAATTTAATAGATAAAAAAGCATGAAGAAAACAGAATTCAACATTCTGTATGTATTTTGTATTCATAACTTCACAAGCCAATTATGCAAACTTGAGTTCCATACACCTTTTCAGTATTTCTTAGTTGTGACAAATCCTGTATTTGTGAGTCTTGCATTATTGGTTTTTGAATTATTTCCCTCCATCCAGACACAATTACTTTGAAGTCACTCAAATGAAACTTCAAGTGGATAAAGAAATATTGGAGATAATAAGACCTGAATCACACTACAATAATTCCTTTCTCTTATAAAAACATGAAATAAATAATAACCTTCCCCCTTTCAGAAAAAAACTCCATTATAAATCATTTTAAAAGCACTACAATTTACCTTATGTTTTATCTAATTTTATGCATTTTGATATTTGCATACATGCATATCCACCCCCTACTTCTTTACACTTTAATCTCCCCCAGACCTGTTCCCCTTCCTCTTCTCTAACAGTAGTCTTTTAGATTCATGTGAACTTTTCACTAGATTCCAAATATTAGAGAAAACATGTGATAGTTTTCTTTCTGAGTCTCCTATTTTTCTTAACATAATGATTTTCCATTCTATCAACTGTCCAGCAAATTACATGATTTTTTCTTCCTTATTCATGGATAATACTCCATTGTTTAAACATATGAGTTTCTTTTATCCATTTATCAGTTAAGGGAACTATGGGAATTTCATAATTTGGAGATTGTGAACAAAGTTGAAATGAATAGGCATTTGCAGGTACATGTGTAGAAGACAGCTTTGATTTTGAGGGGAATAAACCAAGAATCACTGTGACTCTATAGTATGGAAACTCTATTTTTTTGAGGATCCTCCATACAGATGTTCATAATCGCACAACTAAATTACATTCTACCCAGAGTGAATAGAAGTTCCTCTCCCTTGCATCCTTATAAATTTTTATTATGTTTTGCAATTTTGAGGATAAATATTATGACTAGTGAAATATGGAATACCAATGTCAAATTTCTTTTGGAGGAGGTTTGGTGGGACATGGTGTGAACTCCAGGCTTCATGCTTATTGATGCCCACCACACCACCAGTCCTTCAATGTACTTTTTAATTGTTATTTATTTATTTTATTATAACATCTATTTTTTCTTTTTTCTGTAAAATATTTTATTTTATTTTAAATTTTTTATTTGCTTATTCACATGTGCATACATTGTTTGGGCCATTTCTCCCCCCTGCCCCCTGCCTCCTCTTGCTCCCCCCCCCACTTCCTGGAATAACCTGCTCTGCTCTTATTTCTAATTTTGTTGAAGAGAAGACATAAGCAATAATAAGAAAGACAAAGAGTTTTTGCTAGTTGAGATAAGGAGAGCTATTCAGAGAGATTCCTAGCATTGCTTCCATGTACAAATGTGTTATAACCCAAGTTGATTCATCTCTACCTGACCTTTTCCCTAGTTCCTGATCCCCTTCCCATACTGACCTCTGTTGCTAAAATTTTTGAATATTATTCTATATAACTATTAGCCATTTGTACTTTCATGCTAAATTTTTCTTTTATCAGCCCCAGAAAAACATTTATATTCATTATTTTATTAGCTGTGACTCAGTTATAATTGAAAAAAGTGAAAAAAGAGAAAAAAAACCCAGAAATTTGAACACACCTGGAGGTTTCATCACTTTCAATATGACAAGAATATTTACCTACAATATACAGATATCTTAGAAAATTTTAAAGACATTGTGGTGATTGAGCATAGGTACAGCTCTTACCTAAATTTGTGAGGTCCTGGGTATAATCACTATCACTGAAAATAATCTAATTATTTAGAGAAGAGGACTTTTTCATGTTGTTTATCCATATATTGACCTGGTACTATTTTTAAATATCAAGATAACCTGACCTAAGACCTTAATTTAATCAATATATCTGAGTGTGAATTAGTTTATTATGACACCATTCAGAACCATTGCATTTTAAATATCTTTGGACTTAAATAATGCTTCATTATGATGACCTTTTCTTTCAATAGTAGGGATTGAGTACAGTGCCTGGTGCATTCTAGGCAAATGTTATTCCATTTTAGTTAGGCTTTTCATGATCTCTGTTGTATGTAATTTGCTATTGTGATAGGACCTTACTATCTTTTCCTGGGCTAGCCTTGAACTTGCAATCCTCCTGCCACTATATCCAGAGTAACTGGGATTACATATGTACACCACCATGACTGGCTACTCTTATTTGTGCTGACTAAATTTGTACCAATTTTGAAATATAAGTTTCAAAAATTTGCTACATAGCTAACTTTTTAATGAGATATAATCTCAAAGGTATATGAAACTCAAATTTTGTTAAACATTTCTGCACAATTACATTCTTCTTCATAGTCATTCCCATTAGCAACAGTGGCCACTAATTTGATTTTATTATCAATGTTTCCATGCAATTATTGATTTACATATAAAAGAGAAGTTTCCTTAAATAATTTATTTAAAGATCATCTAGAACTCATCTAAATAGTACACAACACAGCACCTGTTGTCCCAGAAATTCACAGGTTCACATCAGCATCTCGATTTAAGTCTCTCAGACAAATACACATAGGTACTTCAAATGACTTATATTGTGTACAAAATTACCAGAAGTAGGGACATGATTTTACTTGCTAGTTTGTTATTATAGCAATACTGTCGAAATTATTGTGCTTGTCTCTATATCAAATGGATGAAAATTTTCCCAATTTATGTCAGTTGAGGATTTTTATTTGAATCACTGCAATTAATATGTACTCAATTTTATGACAAAGGCATGTTTTTATTTATATAAAAACTTATCATCAGGTATATCCTCTTATTCTTAATATGTACTATCATAACATGACGGTCTTTCTTACAATTATCTGTTCAAGAGAGTTCATAATGAAATTTCTTACAGAATGTGAAGTAATATTTCCTTTTGTCTTTAGTAGTTGATGGGAGTCAGCATAATAACATTTTGACTTCCACATAACTGACATGGTACCATATCCAAAATGTATGTAAATATACACAACTCTTCATTTATCCATACAAAATGTATATAAATATATCCAACTCTAAATCATAAGAGGTAGATATACTCTAATCTCCACAACAAATATAGCAGGTAATCTATGTTTGAAACTTGTAAATATTATTAAAATCGTGATTTATTTTTGCAGTATTGTTGTTTGAACTCAGGGAATACATCTTGAGTCACTCAAGCAGACCTTTACTGTGATGGGGTTTTTTGAAGTAGCGTCACAAGAACACTATTCCTGGGCTGGCTTCAACCTGTAATCCTCTTGATCTCTGCCTCCTGAGTAGCTAGGATTATAGAATTGAGCCACCACCACCCAGCTAACATTGTGATATTTTTAAGAAATAAAGAATTATGTCATTAGGAAAATGGAGAGTTTACTGATAATGAAGGTTTCAGGGTCTTGGAACAATATGAATTTGAAATGGGTCTTAGCCCAAGAAACAAGTTTCACCAGCCTAATGTTTTTCATCCCTTTTTAGTATCCAAAATCCTCTCAATCCAGCCTTTCATAATTGAATATTTTAATGTAATTAAGTGAAATTATATGTCCCATATTTATGTGACTTGAACACCATCAGAAAATAGATACTGTTCTTTCTATCTTCGCAAAAGTGATTAATGTGTACAGAGGAAAGTACCAAGTGTTTTGAAATTCCAGAGATTATGAACAATTTCTATGAATGAAGGAGTGTCTGTCTATTCAATGTTTAATGGAGATTTTTTTAATGTTTAATGCCTCCACTGTGTCAAACAGTTTAAAGGATCTGGGCAATGAAAAATGAAAGTAATCCAATAAGCTTCCAACATATGTAGATAACCATACAAAGCAAAAAAATGTCTTTTATATCAAAAGATAAATGTCAACTTCACCTCAGATGATATTTCAACTGAATGGTGTGATGTTTAACATTATCTATAATGCCATTAAAAATATTCTGCCAATATTATGTACACATGCATGAAAATGGACAAATAAGAGCTGTTGAAACTATTCCAGGAATTGTGCAAGAGGGATAAAGGAGAATGATGGAGGGGGCAAATTCAACTCTGATGTATTATAAGAACTTTTATAAATGTCATAATGTACTCCCAAGACAACAATAATAAAAACTAAAAGGTTAAAAATGTATATTGTATTTCCTCTTATGTTATACATTCCTTACGAATTAGTAATGTGGAGAGCATCTATTAACTGTTTATTTCTTCTTCAATAAAGCTGAATCAAATGTAAATTACCTCAAATGACAATGCTGACTGTCACACACATTAACACTTACTGCATTTCAATGACAAAATATTTGTCCAGAAAAATCCAAAATTAAATTGAATTGTCTGTTTCTGGATAATGTATGCTAATCTTTTATACTGTTTCCCAAACAACAGAAAGACTTAGACAGACATACTAATCACAGGTATATCTCAGGTACATTTTAAACTGCTTCAAGTTTCTGGAATAGGAAGGAATTAAAGACTTGACTTTAATCTCCTTTTAAGATTGAGTGATCTGTTTACAAGAATGAAGGAGGATGTGCACAGCTGTAAGAATATACTGCCATCAGTGAAAGACAGAGGTCAGTGCTTGTTGCTTTTCTGCATTCTATTTTGCTGCTCTTTTCTCAGAATCTCAGACATTCTTTCTTTTATTGTAACAACAGGTACCATGCACTGATTTGTTCTATGAACATCTAGGAATGCCTAAATGGAAGAGGACTATGAGGAATGGGTCTAATTCTGGAGTGACCAGGAAATGAGATGACTAGTTGAGTTGTCACAGTAACAGCCTGAAGGTATGATCTTACCCAGTTGACCCATTAATCTAATTAGCACAACTCAAACAGGATTAGCATTGTTTCCCGAAACACTTACATTAAAATGCTGTGCTGAATTTTTCATGAAAATAACTATAATGTGCCAACAATCTACACAGAATG